CCTCTGTCTCCTGGGTTCAAGGGCTTCTCCTGCCTCAGCCTCCCAAGCAGCTGGGACTACAGGTTCGTGCCACCACATCCAGCTAATTTTAGTAGAGACAGGGTTTCATCATGTTGGCCACGCTGGTCTCAAACTCCTCACCTCAAGTGATCTGCCCGCCTCTGCCTCCCAAAGTACTGGGATTATAGGTAGGAGCCACCACACCAGCCTTTACTACTCTTATTACAGCAGCTTTGCTTGCTAGGCAGAGTAACTGCATTGAATTTGAAATCTGCAAAATGAAGTAACAGATTCATGTCCTTAGAAGAGAACAAATAATGTCCTGCTTTTTACCTCATTTTTTCCCCTCGAGTTCTGCCAAGCCATTGAGAAGCAATATACAGGAAAATTAAATATAAACACATGACACAAGTCCCTTTGCCAGGCAAATGCCCTAATTTACCTGTTAAAATGATGCCTATAAACATCCAGACACAGAGAAAAATGTTCCCTGCCTTAGGGTCATAGTCTGATGTGAGCTTTCCTTGAGCCAATGTGAACAAAATTCCAAATATCTAAAATACAATAGGAAAAGTAATTTGTTATTACGTTTACTTATTTAAAACAAGTATAAAGTTTTCACCAGAATTTTTCTTATTTTGTTTATATGATTTGGTTTCTAGAAACATTCATTGAAAAGTTGAATTGTTAAAACAAAAACCAGGGTCAGGCTGGGCGCAGTGGCTCACACCTGTAATCCTAGAACTTTGGGACGTTAAGGTAGGTGGACTGCTTGAGCCCAGGAGTCCAAGACCAGCCTGGACAACATGGCGAAACCCCATCTCCACAAAAAATAACAAAATGAAAAATGTAACTGGGCATGCTGGCGTGCACCTGTAGTCCCAGATACTCTGTAGGCTGAGGAGGGAGAATTGCTTGAGCCTAGGAATTTGAGTCTGCAGTGAGCCATGACCGCATTACTGCACTCCAGCTTGGGTAGCAGAGCGAGACCCTGTCTCCAAAAACAACAACAACAACAAATAAACCATGGTCAAACTCATTACGCACTAGAATATATCTGGTACAATAATCATCTCAGGTTTAGAGAAATCAGAGGTTTACCTGTGCAGAAGCATTAAGAAGACCAGATGAAGTACCTTCAGATTCAGGGTAAGTGATTTCAACAGCAAATTCAAAACCCAAAGGGAGGTAACCAGTCATGAAGAAGCTAGGGAAATAAATCCAGAATTATAGAAAGAATTATCAGAAGGTCACATACTGATGCAATTATTCTGCTTCTTGGGCCTATTCTAATGACCAAATAAGTGAGTATTTTGAAGCTGCTATGTCAAAGTAAGGAAGCTTTATTATTGACCAATCAGTCCAAGGTTACAGATCTGGAAAGCAACAAATACCAATATTTTTTCTGCAAATAATTTACTTCTAGTTTAATAAGTCAATTGTCTTTGTAATCAAAGTTACACAGATTAAGTAAGGCTCATCCGTTTTTTTTTTACCAACGGCATACCAAAAACCAATTTTAAACAATTTTTAATAGTTTCTTTTTTTTTTTTTTGAGACAGTTTCACTCTTGTTGCCTAGGCTAGAGTGCAATGGCGTGATCTTGGCTCACTGCAAACTCTGCCTTGTGGGTTCAAGCGATTCTCCTGCCTCAGCCTCCCAAGTAGCTAAGATTATAGGTATCCACCACTGCGCCCAGCTAATTTTTGTGTTTTTAATAGAGATGGTGTTTCACCATGTTCACCAGGCTGGTCTCGAACTCCTGACCTCGTGATCCACCCACCTCGGCCTCCCAAAGTGCTGGGATTACAGGAGTGAGCTACTACACCCAGCCAATTTTTAATAGTTCTTTAAAAATTACCCATTTATATACACAGAATGAATCCTTTAAAGTTAAAAATATTAAAGAACCTTTGAATGAACTTAAAAAATTAAAAACCAGAGTAATAATACTTCAGAATAATAACAGCATGCTATCAATCCTCCTAAACACATCTGATACTTACCCAAGGACCCCTCCAGTAACAAACACGATAATAATGTATCCAAGGTCCAATGTGAAAGTAAATATAACCATTCCAATAAAAGACAAAATATAAACTATCAGAGTAGTCTGCCTAAAACAAAACAACAAAGCTGTTAGCATTTTGTCTGATCCTCCTAGGCATATAAAAATCATTACTCTTATAGAACAGATAGTAATGAACCTCTGTTTTTCAAAGTTCACCTCTTCTTGTCTATGGAAAATGTATCCACCAAAGCATAAATTTTAAAGCATTTTTAATTTAAGATTCAGCAGCAGCAGACTATAAAACCACACCATATCCAATGCTCAGATGGGGATACTTTTATACGAATAAAATCATTTTTATGCCATCAAATGGGATAGTTCCCTACTCACATTTCAAGATATGGATCAAATTCTACCTCTTCCAAATGCCTGCTGAAGCCACACCAGCTTATAAGAGTCTCTCTTTCTTCCAAATTCCCTTATAATTTGGGCACTATAAAACTTACGACATCCATTTTCGTTTGTTGTATTGTTTAACTTTTCATATGCAAATGTCTTATTTGCTCCATTTAGACAACAGCATCTTAAGAACAGGGATCACATACTGCTTGCCATAATTTTTATCCAAGAGAGATGCACACAACAGAAGTTTGGAGAGTGAATGGCAGTTACCCTGAGAAGAAAGCCACAGTGGCAAAGAACACACTTCTATGCCTATCAAGTTTTCTAAATGTACAATGGATGAAAGACTTAAGAAATTTAATCCTTTACATATGCTCCCTTCATCTATAAATCAAGCAGATTTCACTCTAAGCTATCATTTTACAATAATGAAGCTATGGCAAGTGTTGTCTTAAATTACGGAAGAACTATCTTGGAGAATTTCAAGATTAGAGATACTTTTGGTGGTGTTTAGACTAATAGTATTAAATGTATCTTGAGCCTTGAAAGGTACATGGGACACAGTTCCATATTTCATTCATCTATTCATTAATAGTTTCATTCATTCATTTCCAAGCACAGGGGGAAGTTTTGGCCTATTAAAAAATGTGGTGATTTTTTTTACATGCCAGAGCAAAATATGCTGCCTCTGAAACCCCTTTCTTAGTCTTCCAGTTGGTATCATTCACTTTTTCTTTGGTATTAGCATGTTGGTGGTTCCATATAATCATATAATGTGCAATTAACATAGTATATTCTTTCTTTTTTTTTTTTTAGACAGAGTCTTGCTCTGTCACCCAGGCTGGAGTGCAGTGGTGCTATCTCAGCTCACTGCAACCCCCACCTCCTGGGTTCAAGCAATTCTCCTTCCTCAGCTTCCTCAGTAGCTGGGATTACAGGCACCCACTACCACACCTGGCTATTTTTTCTACTTTCAGTAAAGGCAGAGTTTCACCATGTTGACCAGGGTGGTCTCTAACTCCTGGCCTCAAGCAATCTACCTCGGCCTCTGAAAGTGCTGGGATTACAGGCATAAAACATGTGTCCAGCCAGCATTTTCATATATACATTATACTACAGTTAAATGGTGCTGTAGTCTGGGGATACTTTAGCCAAAAAGTTCTTACCAAAATAAAGCCTTACGCTCAACAATATTTTTTTGATCAGAAAGAACTACATTTTTATTTTTGTATTTAAGCTCAAAACATAAGAAAAGAACAAGATAGGCCAGGCACGGTGGCTCACGCCTGTAATCCCAGCACTCTGGGAGGCTGAGGTATGAGGACTGCCTAAGCTCAGGAGTTTAAAACCAGCCTGAGCAATATGGTGAAACCTGTCTTTACCAAAAAGTCAAAAAATTAGCTGGGTGTGGGGGCACACACCTGTGATCACAGCTAATCAGGAGGCTGAGGTGGGAGAATCACCTGAGCCTGGAAAGCAGGAGTTGCAGTGAGCCAGGATGGTGCCACTGCACTCAGCCCGAGTTACAGAGTGAGACCCACCTCACAGAAAAAAAAAAGAAACCACAGAAAACAAAATCAAGTCTATCAAAAGTCAAATATTTCTCAGAAATGGCTCTTTTTAAAATACAAATAATTCCTTCTGAAGTGGTAAATAAGTACTGTTAGAAAAAAAAGAAGGTTCATAAGCTATCCAAGTTCTCAAAATTTAAATAAATGTGACCAATAAAATAATGCAACACATAGAATACTGAAACATTTGTTAAATGAAGAGAACCTGCTAGTTAGAATCTAGGTCTTTAAGTAATAACACTTTAAAAAAATTTTTTTTTTTTTTTGAGATGGAGTCTCACTCTGTTGCCCATGCTGGAGTGCAGTGACATGATCTTGGCTCACTGCAACCTCTGCCTCCTGGGTTCAAGTGATTCTCCTGCCTCAGCCTCCCAAATAGCTGAGACTACAGGTGCATGCCAACATACCAGCTAATTTTTTGTAATTTTTAGTAAAGACGGGGTTTCACTGTGTTAATCGGGATGGTCTTGATCTCCTGACCTAGTGATCCGCCCACCTGGGCCTCCCAAAGTGCTGGGATTACAGGCGTGAGCTACTGTGCCCAGCCAAGTAATAACAGTTTTTAAATTTCTTAAAATAAAAAGCAAACTGTTCTTTAAAATCAAAATACCTTTGGTCATACACCATACATGTATTTACTTTCACGTACTTGTATGTTTTGGTAAAATCCAGCCATAAGCCACAAAGAATAGAGCCCACCATTCCAGCTACTACCAGCGTTAGCCCAATTCTTCCAGCATTGACTTCCTCTCCCTGAAAACAATTTGCATAAGAAGTTGATCAAATAAATGGATTAACTAATTAAGATTCTTCACATTTCCATACCTTTCATAGTCAAGGAAAATGATAAGATAAAATTAACTACACGGTAGGACGATTCAGTACATGTGTTAGGGTAGGAGGGGAGGGCAGGTAAAGAATATATAGAGGCATTATATTTTAAAACCAGAAAAAAAACCTAAAATAATAGAATAAAAAAAGAAAATTTTTGTTAATCCTCTATTGTTAGAAGTACAATGATTTTTGTTAGGATTCTTAAGTATAGATAGTCAAGTGCTCCACAATGACATTTAGGTCAACATTGAATCATATATACAATAACGATCCCATAAGATTATAATACTGTACTTTTATTCTACCTTCTGTTTAGATATATTTCGATACACAATTTACCATTGTATTACAACTGCCTACAGTATTCAGCAGAGTAACATGCTATATAGGTTTGTAGCCTAGCAGCAATAGGCTATACCACATAGCCAAGGTGTGTAGTAGGCTATACCATCTAGGTTGTGTAAGCACGCTCTATGATAGTCACTCAACAATAAAACTGCCTAGTGAATTTCTCCGAAGGTGTTCCTGTCATTAAGGGAGGCATGACTGCGGGGGCCGGGCGTGGTGGCTCACGCCTGTAATCCCAGCACTTTGGGAGGCCGAGGCGGGTGGATCACGAGGTCAAGAGATCGAGACCATCCTGGTCAACATGGTGAAACTCCG